ACCCGCTGCGGAGCAGCCGCTGGCTCCCCGAGGGGGCAGGGCCCGGGGCGCGGGGGCGCGGAGCGAGGTTTGTTCTGATTTTTAGGAAATGTTGCAATCCAGTACTCTAGGCACAGATACACGTCTTATAAAAACAAATGCTACTGGTTTTGGAATGCACGACCTCAGCAGGCGACCACCCCCTCAGCTGCCCCCCGTCCCCTGCCCGCCCCAGCCCACCCTCCCTCCTCTCCCCACCGCCCCTAAACTGCGCTTACAGTTTAGGCAAAGTGATGGGGCTGTAGCAGCATCTGCAGCACCCCAAGGGTGGCCGGGAATTGTAGGAATTAACGATGATGAATCCTGCACGTCAGTGGCTTGCGCTTCAGCCCCTGCAGGCTGCTGCTCCTCGCCGGCACGGGCAGGTGGGCTCGGCGGCACTGAGCGGTGCACCGGGGAAAGGAAGAGCACATGCTGCATTTTCCTAGTCACGTCCATGAACTCAAAGGCACCGAGGCCAATTCCAGGCCAGGCCTGCGTGTGTCAGATCCTGGAGCTGTTAATATGCTTCCTGAGCCTGGTGCTGCCGGAGCCGGGTCCAGCTGGAGCAGCTCCAGCGGGCGGGACAGAGGCTGCGCAGCATCCCCGTCCGTGCCCGAACGGCGCGCTCCGCTGCCCTCGATTGCTCAGCGCCAGGGAGCTTGGCAGCAGATCTTCCATCTGCTGGCACAAGCTTGCTGCGATGGGAACTCCTGAAAGAAGTTCCAAGGGGATATGGGACAAAACCTTGCCCGAGGAAAGTTTTGCTGATAGTCCTCTCACTGTACTTGCCTTTAAAATTCCCTGGGTGAAATCCCTCACCGCACCTCTAGGCTTCACCTCTCTATTTTCATCAGGAACAGAGTTTTAGCACTAGGCTGTTCTGATATTTATAAGGAAGCACGACAGAAAGTTGTTTCATTTCAGTTCCTCAATTCACAGCGTCAAAAACAGACACTGAAGAACCAAAGGGACAGCTGGGTCTGAGAGCTCGCAGCCTTTGAAGTCGAAGCAGACAGGGCACCTATCATTTCAAAGTCCTCTCTTAAAACACGGTCAAAAGATGGACTCTGTTTGCTCCTTTATTACCACTACACAGATATCATCACCAAGATAATTACTGCAATTACAGGGTTAGGAGGAATTCCTGAAGTCAAGACTTAAAAGCTGTCTCTAGTCCGAGATGCTTCTTTGAAACTACTACTATCATTATTATTTTGCAGAGGCTTGTAACTGCCTAACGAGGCCGGGAAAGCAGGCGGGGTACAGAAGGAGATCGGGCACGTTGTCATTTGGCTGCTGCGTAGGTAAGAAAAAAGCATTATTTGCACTGTTGCACATGTTCATAGCACTCCCTCTGCAACCCCTCCTTGCTTGGTTTCCCAGCTCCCAGTAAAGGCCAGTCGGCAGCTCAAGGGATACCACGATTAGCTGAACAACCGCACGAATTTTCCGCTCCGAGTCCATTCGAACTGCCTTCTCGCACGTGCAAGCCTAACTCCGCTGAGCTGCACGCTCTTCTGACGCGGGTGGAGCATGGTGCCAAAGGAGCCCGAGGACGCTGCAGCAAAGCCTGCTAACCACTGCCGCAGCCGCCCGTCCTCACTGAGCATCACTTGCACGATGGCCACGTGTATTTTTTTTTTTTTTAGACCACGCAGAATAAACCTCACTGGGACCCAGCTATTGCCTTCAGCGCTGTAAAACCACAGAGGCGTTGAGATGCCTCTGCTTTGAAGCTGAGACATGTAAAGACACAGGAATAACGCCCGTGATGTGATTAAGTCCTTTCATTAACATGGCATGATCATAGGAAACAGTTGTAAAACATTGTCAGAAGACTGGAAACAACTAACCACAATGACAAAGCCTCTTTAGAACAAAAGCGATATACCTTCTTTTTGGGAATTCCTGAACAGCTTAAAACCTCAGCATCACAAAGGTGCCAGCCGGGGTCAGAAACCCCTCCAGCTAGATGCACATAGGGTTTACAAATCTCTCAGAGTCTCCTGGGTTTAGCCCAGAGGAATATCTAATATCTTTACAGCTCATTTGTCGGCTCAGAGCCACATCTCTCTGCAGGTAGCTCTCTACATCAACCCCTGTATGAACTGCTGTTACCCTGGTGCCAGAGCCGCTGGAGGCCGGGTGCCGAGGGCTGGGTGCTTTCGCCTCTCCCTGGAGAGCTGCCGGGGACTGAGGAGGGCCACGGCCACGGTGTCTGGTCACCACGGCTCCTCGGAGGGCACCAGGCGGTCAGCGAGGCTGTCTCCCGTGCCAGACCTCAGCCCCGGCAGCAGGACGGGCACACGCGCTGTGCCCAGCCCTCGCCTCCTGTGCCCAGACCCTGCCCGCTGTGCGGCCGCTGCCGGCACCACGGGGTCTCCGCTTTGCGGACGCAAAGTGAGCAACGAGCTCACTTCTCCGCTGCTGCTGGTGAGGAGGAATCCATTTTCATCACGCAAGGAGCAAACCAAGCTCGAAGGAAGAACACATACCTCCGCTCGTAGCCTGTGCACCACCGCCGTCCTCCGCAGTCCTGCTTCCACACTTTGACGGTGCGGGCAAAGGCCTGGACGCAGGGCTGCCGGTGCCCCACAATCGCCAGCTCCTGCTCCGCGCAGACGTTCGGCCTGGCACAGAGAAAGAGAGGTGTACAGGGTCTGCACGCCGCTGAGAGACCAGTGCAGTGCTTCCACCGCTTAAACCGGCACCAGCTAGGCGCAACTGCATTCCCCTACTGAAAGAGCAGGAAGATCTTACACAATACACAGTATTTGCCTCCTCGTTTAATTAAACCTGCGCAGGGAAAAGAAATCTGCCGGGTCAGCCAGCCACAAGCAGTGGTCAAGTGCAGCCTACCCACCTCCCCCAAAACCCTTGGATGTAGTGCTCTTGTGAACAGGGAGCGTGGCACCAGCGTGGCACCGGCACCAACAAAACACACAGCACAATAATATCATCTGTATTTCTCCGAAGCGTGTCATTAGGACTTCGTGAATCAGTTAAACATTGGAGAGCTACAAGGTGAACATTGCAAACCCGTATTTACAGATGGAAAATTGCTGCACAGAGAGAGGACACGCTGAGCCACCCGGGCTGCGCGTCGGTGGCAGGCACGGGAAGCCTGCCCCGTCCCGAACCCCCTCCTGGAACCTCCAGGCCTGCCGCCCGCGGTGAGGCTCCGACACAGCAACAGAAATCTAAAGCAATATGGTTTTATAACATTGCAACACAGCAAGCTTCAGCGGGGCTGGGAAGCTGCTGACATCTTGTACCTCTAGGTCCCGGGACGCTCTACAGCCCACCTGAAAAATGCAGCCATTACTTTTCTACTGATACATTAAGGCTAATTTTTAGCCTTAAAACAGAGAGTATGGATCAGAAAAGAGGCAGCAGCCTACACGATATGGTAGCACAATACTTTCTATGTTTGTCCATGCTGTCCGCTCTCAGTTAACGAAGAATACATATGCTTTCTTTGCGCCTAGGGAATTATTTTTCCTGACTATTGTCATTGCAAACGCCAACGATATCTGCATCTTCTGACAGTGTTTGGGAAAAAAATTATTCTGCCACGAGAAATGACACATCATTTTATTAATACTGCTTTAAATCAGAATTCAGTTTGCTGTCTTAGATGCTTTCTCATTCGTTCAGAGCTAAGGGCTGCAAGACTAAGTCCAGTAGATAAAGTGAATATATATAATTCAGTGAGTAAGAAAATAAGGAAAATACCATTTGCACTTTACTTCTTTTCTAATCCTAACTCTCTTTCACCAAACGCGAGTCAGTGGTTTTAGCTAAGAATGAAGAGGGAAACGTCTGCCCCTGACTTAATAAGTTATGAGCCATTCATTATCTGGGACTGCTTCTGTTGCTTCCAATTCTTCGAAAGGGACCGAGAGTTTTCATTAAAATACTTTCTGTAAAAGAAGTTAAACTAAATAACGTGGAGGTGGTGAAGCACAGAGATTGCAGCTGGCATCTGGCCGCTCCAAGGCGCTCAACGGCCGCGCTGCCGGCGCGAGGCTGGCGATGCCCTTGGGGTTAATGGCATGCCTCCTTCCCCTCCAGCTTTGCTCTGAAAGCTCCTCTCCTCATCCCACGCCGGGCCAGCGCCGAGCCCTTCGGCTTGCAAAGCTCCGCGCACATCACTTCACCAATACAACAGCCCCGGCGCGAACGGTGGCCGCCAGCGAAGCCGCTGGATTTCCTGAGCGTCTCCGTGCCCGGAGAGCTGCGAGTGGTGCCAAGAGCAGTGCCTCCCCGCCCCGGCCCGCTGCCGCGAGCCTGCAGGCGCCTCACCTCCCCGCTGTCTGCACGTCCAAAACAGAACAGAAAGGAGCCACAAGAGCAAGGCTGGCAGCAGCACCGATTTGGTGTCATTTATTACAGCCAAGAAAGGTTCTTGTGTGCCCCGAACAGTGGCTGTGTGTGTGACGGGCATCGTCAGCCGTGCCCTATGGGCAGCGACGGCCCTTCCCAGGCGCTGGCGCTTGCTTTTCTCTGACGCTTTGGCACGCATCTCATCTCCAGCGTCTCATCCAAGAAGTCCTAAAAGTCCCTGTCAAGGCGGGAGCGCAAAATCTCTGACGTAGGGAGAAAAGGCATTTTCTTGCAAAACCTTTTTCTGCTGAAAAGGACCCCTTTTCAATCACAAAGTTAAAACCGTCCGGGAGAGCAGCTTGGAGTTAGCGCACCATGCAACACTGGGTTCATTCACGAAAAGAATTGGAGCAATCCCCCTGCACCGAGGGATCATCTTCTGGCAGGAGACCAAATTTGCAAGGAAGTTTTCCAAAGAAGCCAAATGATTAACACCAAACTGTAACTGTAAAATTTAATTAAACAGAACGGGCTGCGTGCTGCTAGAGTAACAGCGAAGGGGGGAAAGAAACATGCAGTAAGAACAAGAGACACAAAGTGCAATAAAAATAGCGGGTCTGTGAAGAAAGGGCAAACTATTTACACAAAACCCACCTCTTGCACTCACGCTATAGCAACATTCCAGTTAAAACCAGTCAGTTACCTCCTACCAGCAGACTATCCCGATTTCCAAATTTCCATTCACCTTTATGTACATCTGGTCCTCAAGAAACACAGAGCAGCCCTCCTTCCCCCTCCCTCTCTCTGCTCCCTCCTTCACCTTTGATTTTAAAATACCGTATTTAGCTTCCGCGTTACAGCTCCCTGCCCTGTAAAAACACTTTTCTGGTATTCTTTTCCTGCTACTTACATATGGGGCTGAAGTTTGTTCCCAGAAGCAAGAGAAGAGATTCGCAACGCGAGGATGAATGACAGTGCCACCGCATGAAACTCCATTGCGACAGCTCCCCTCTCCCCCCGCGGTGCTTCCCGCCGGAGCCTAGAAACCTCCCGGCCTCCTCGAGCCCGGCTGGCGAGCCCCTGTCCCTCAGGGACACTCCTGGCCACCTCCTGGTCCCAACCTGACGGTCTCTCGCAAAGGACAACGCCACCGGAGCACACGGGAGCTCTTGCACGGGGAGAGCGGGCTGATCACCCCCGGGTGCTTCCTCCCACTGGGGTGCAGCTCAGCAAGTTTCTTCAGTCCATGGGAAAGGATTCTGGTGCAGATTGTCGCTGGGCTTCTCCCCAAACCAAACCCGGCTTCTTACGCTCATTTGCTTTTAGTGAAATGCACTGAAGTGACTTTTCCTTCTGGCATTTGCTTCCTGACAAAGCCCGCAGACCCGGTGGCTCACAAGACCTGGGTTCTGTCCAGCAATGAAGCCCCATGTGGGTTTCGCTGACTTGGAGCCGCGATCCGCTTCGCAGGGCGATGCAAAAATCAGCGCTCAGCAAGAGAAAGGGAACAGGAGGGGTGCGCTCCCGCGCACGGAGAAGCCCACCTCCCAGAGGACTTCTCCAAAAGCGGAGCGCGGGTTCAGCCCCCCGGCGCAGCTGAAGCCATCCTCCCGCTGCAGCTCCCCACCCGCCTCCGCAGGCAGGAGCCCGGAGCCCGGGCACACGCGCACACAGAGCAGCTCCCCTGTGTTTCAGGGGAGTAACAAAACTTTCCCCCTGCCTTTCCCAGGTCGAGCTCCTTTCCCTCACATGCTCTCTTGTTTCTTTTCTTGCTGACAGTCAGAAATCCCTCCCACCAGCTGCGTCCAACCCCGACCAGAGGAGGGGGAAACCCAGCAGAACAGTAGCAGAAATGATTCGGGTTTGTTTCTCACAGACAGCTCTTTTGCACTACCCAAGGCCAACTCCGCACACGCCACCCAAACCCCCTTTCCCAGCAGCTCTAAAACGCCCCACAGAGATTTAATCTTTCCTATGCACTCTAATAGATAAGAAAAACCGATCGCTTCCCAAGGAAATTCTGCTGGGCACGTAAAAGACAGGGATGCATCCGACCTGCGCTCGGCTGCTAGAGCACTGTTAACCGACCGGTGCCCGGGCTGGCAGGGGAGCACACCGAGCAAAGAGGGGGCTGGGGAACAAGATTACATTGCCATCTGCCTTCTCCCACCAAAACCCCTGCTACGTAGGGGAACGGCACAGAAAGAGGCGCTGATAAGGATTTTGCTGAAGCTGGGTGACAGTCCGCTGGCCCCTGTGAAAGGAGAAAACAGAGAGAGAAGTGCCCAAGCCTAATTCTCAGATGGTTCACTGCCGAGTTTCCTCCTCCAAAAAACTGCCACCAGTACCACCAGTTGTTATTGCCAGCACCGGCGAGGGCTGACAGGGGGCTGAGCTGTCCCTGCCCCCCTCCCAGGGAGGACGGGCGCGCGGCAGCCGGCGCAGTAGGACGGGGAAGAAGAGAGCGGAGGAGGGATGCAGCACTAAACCTCTCCTGCCTGAAAATCCTGCGAGCAAAGTCTCTCGCCACAGGCCAGGAGGAGTCCAAGCAGCAGCTGGGCACGGCTCCGCTGCCCGGGGCGGCCCTGACCCTCGGCAAATATCGCTGTCTGGGAGAGAAGCAGGAGAAGGTCTGAGCGGTTTCAGTGCCCGTGCCGTGCACGTATTTTGCCACTGAAAGACAACCATTACATCAAGACTAAAGTCGCCAAGGAGCCATGCCCAGAAGTTGGCAGCTCTTGGAAGAAGCAGAGGCAGCTGCTTTTTACACCTTAACCCTTCCGAAGTCCCAGGCTCTGCATAAATCCTTTAGGTCAGAGGAAAGAGCGGGTAAGAGGGGCTCGCATTTCCACTCAGAAGTAAAGTATCTGCCAAGCTAACAGATGGGAAGACAACATCTGTCATTGGTCCTAGAGGAGAAAGGCAACTACGTAAATATGTTTTATAATGATGGAGAGAGCTCCAGGATACAATAAATTCAGGCCTCCTTTTTCCTATCAGGACTTCAAAAGTTGGGACTTTTCTTACGGTAGGAAACCATAAGACTGCTCCCAGTGAGTCCTTCAGCGCTAACTTACTGCTGCTACCCAAAAGCTTCCCTTAGGCTTAGCTGATCCTCTGCTTGGGCCCAGCTTTGCGAACGCAGCGCTGGGTGCGCGGTATCTGGATTTAGGACGTGCCCAGGCGAAAGCCGGGGGCGCGGGGAGGCCGCGGGGCCCGGCCCTGGCCAGATGCCCGCCGGCGGGGCCGGAGGCAGGGTGAAGGGGAGCCTGTGCCCAGCCGGGCCAGCGGGGAGCGGGCAGAGAGGGAGCCACGCTCCGGCGGGCAGAGCGGGCAGAGCCGGAGCGTGGCTCCCTCTCCAGGACACGGCCCAGCCACAGCTCCCACGCCTGCCTCGGGGACGACCCTGGCTACCAGGCGGCCAGGAGAAGGCAACCTGCTGAGGGTGCAGGCTGGCCTGGCCGCGGGAGGCAGTGGCGCGGGCACCGCTCGGCTGTGGCCATGCCCAGCAGTGCCGGGGGAGAAGAGGAGGCTCGGATGGAAAAAGCCGTGCTGTGGCCGTGGCGTGAGAAGTTACCGAGCGTAAAGCCAACCCTGCGGCTCTTCTGGAAGGCCCTTTAGAGAAAGCAACGAGGTTTCCCGTTTAAGCAGGCTCACGTGAGCAAGGGCTGCAGGGAATTCGTGAAACACACGTGAAAGATGGGTATCTGAAATCCAGTGCCGTCTGTGAAGTCAATTGAATATGTTTTCAATTTTGTATCGTTTCCCAGCGCAACTGCCTGCTGAAGGCGTCGTCCTCTGGCTGAGGGTAAAACAGCCCTGGAAAGCGCTGCGAGATACAACACGGTTCCACAAGTAGCAACGATGAGATCCGCAATAACGCCAGGGACCGCAGAAATACAAACATTAACTTGCCATGCGCTCCCCAGCATTATTTAATCCTTGCTATCAGGCTGGCGGGACAGGGCTCGGGCTTCGGGCCGCGAACTCCCAGTTCTGCCCCTCGTTCCCGTGCCGCGCCCGCCACGCGTGACCGCAGGGTGCTGCGGGGACGG